ACGCATAGCAACCTCCACATTTCGAAAACAGAGTCACGATTTTAAACAATCTCTTATATGATAATATGGAAACCGATAGCGCTTTTTATATTACAACATGCCTCAAGAAGCGAAACCACATAATGGTGCCGCATAAAGATCTGGGTAAGATGTCACTAATTAGCAAAGCCTTTGTTATACGAGCACCAGTTCATCATTGGTAATTCTAAATTCTTCACTCACTTCTCTCCAAACCCATTCAAAAAAACGATGATGTAGAAACTACTGATTTGGTACAAAAAGACGGCAGACTGTTTTAAAAATGTGGCGCCGAAAACAGTTCGTCGACTCAAATGTTTTCTTCTCACAACGATTTTCCGCCTCATCGTGGCTAGGAGACGTTCCTGGGAGTCGGGTTGCAATGTACTGCGGGAGGGATTTATGCACCCGGCAGGGTCCAACGAGCTGAGGACGAGTCCGGCATTTCCATTAGGAACCCCAACTAAGAGTGAACCAATACCAGGATCCACCACCGTCCTGGTATCAAATTAGTCGCATGGTGGCAAATCTCCCTGTGATCCACAAATGCGACAAATGCCTGTGGTTGTGAAGAGCTGGAGAAGACTTTAGCCTGGCTGACCTCGAAATTTAAGAGAACCACAATCTAGGCTATCAAAATTCCGAAAAAATGGAATTTATGAGTTCATCCAGGACCAGTCAATCTAAGATCGAAATCAGTGAAGACGGGCCATCCAAGGATCCAAGTGAGTAATATTTTTTCTGGCCCAAAATAGCTCTTAAACGACTGGGAACGAGTTTATGGCAACAAATGTCCCATACGAAAGGTCAACACAGAGGCTCTTGATGAAGCTTTCAAATATCGCTCCATAACATACAGTACGTCTCTGACTATCTCTGAATTGTCGAAGGACGAAAAAAAAACTATTCTTGAAAGTGAGCGGTAGCAACAAAGGATCATTGTTTTCTGTACTGAATATTATATTCGCTGAAACGCGGCTATTTCCTGCGAAACATCAGAAATAATTTATTCAAATCTACGTACTTTCAAAAACAAGCTACATGCATAACATGAATTTAACCGACTGCCGTCAATAAAGATTATGGTTGAATAGACCGGCTTTTCTATAGCACAGAATAATGAGGAAATATGCTAATGGCAGCTCCTCACAGAGTATTCACGATGCTTTCATTGTAGATGATTCGAGCTAAAAAATGACACAAGCCTTGACAGAAGTAAGAATGGGTTTTAAAAGTTGTACGATTAAAACAAATGTAGCTGGTAAAACGATTTCCCAATGTAGTTCCTAAAATATACACCGTACATAGGATGGTCATGAAGTAATTCCAATCCGATAAGAATGTCTGTGAAACACATTCGGCAATTGGAACGAATCCAAATTGAGAGGCAGATTTAAAAAGTTTAACAAACGTTTTCGTGACTCGAAAACAGCTACTTCGGCACAGGAAAAAACGGAGGCATTTTAACAGATGGTTTTGTCGGTTCCAACATTGCATCTAGTTCGTCCGTCAGATTCTGCAGCATGAAACCAATGTCGGACAAAACATTGCCATTTTGACACATTCCATGCGTGGGCGGTTTTTCCCTTCAACAGAAGCATAATGAATCAAGCTAAAAATAAATCGGAAAAACGGATTAAAAAATAATACGTAACCTAAACTTCTGGAGGCACACTAAAAGAACTTAAAAGGCTGACCAGATGGAATCGGTACAGCTACGAACTGATAGGCTTGGAGATTTTCGCGCGGTTTGTGGTTGAGATATATTGAAAGCTTTTTGTGCCCCATTATCTCTCGACCTAAAAACTAGGCATTAATTTTGAAGAATAATTTCAAAATGAAATCCATCGATGAAGTGTGGAAGACACTGTTCTTTACTTGATAGTGCCACAGTTTTCGTTTGCAAATGGCAACTGCTCAAGGCTTGACGACGATCCACCATTGTTTCCAGATGACGACTGGAAAGCGTGTTGCAGTCGACGTATAGAACCTTCACAATGTAGTGGAGCTGAAACTAGCTCCAATACTTTTTTAAAAGGTTAGAATTTTGCAGGAGTGGTTAGGATTTTCGTACGAACTTCAAGCAATCACAACCACTAGTCGATGGATTCGATGCCTGGTAAAGGCAACGGTTTTTTTTAAAACGACTTTAAAAAGGCTGCCATAAAACCAATTATAGGCAGCATTTATTTATTCTTCTTCCCCAACCTCTAAGATTTACACTTATTCCAGAGCGTTCCCAGCCGACGTATGAAGTAGTTAGAAAAGCGGCGACGTCGACCCTTCCTAGTGATGTATACACATTTTATTTTGCTCTGCCATCTTTAATAATAAATTGCTCAAGATTCATATTTCACTAAAAACATCCACGAATGGACTTAGAAATTTCTTCAACGTTTACTAGTGATGACGCTAAAAACGAACTGTAATCCATCACAAATTGTTGAATGTAGCTGTGATACTCCACAAAGCTTTGGAGTCGTAAATTTGGAAAGGAAACATTTTCAAAAACTATAAGACACGATAAAAAACTGCACTTGAAATTCGGCTTCAAGAGACTCTTGCCGGTCAACTGCGTGCAAGTAAAGTGATCGGTGAATCAATCAGCGAAATAATGAACAACTAGCTCAAGCAGCTTAACTGCTTCATAACGGGAAACACAGACACAAGTGCTTGAGAAGGAACGAAATGGAAACTGTCTTCAGACAATTTTAGAAACCCAAAAAAACAAACACTGATTTTAACAATACTGTTAAAAAAACAACTTTACCTGGTGGAGGTGGACAGTCGGCGTTAGGAATACTGACAATCGAAGATGTGTCGCGTTCACGGCTCGCCTCGCTTAGTATTTTTCCGGTAGATATAAGATTCAACCTTATCGGTTCAATCTGTAGTTAACATAGATAAATTTCTTTGCGATTAAGTGGTTTTAGTATATGTAAGAAAAGAACGAGTAATAGAAAAAGAAGCAGTGAAACTACGTAGAATGTGGACCTTCTCAAATATCGGGTCGTAGCAAACTGGTGATTTCTTCAATGCTGCATAAGTATCACATTCCTCTATAGACCTCGAAGGTGGCACAGGAGGATTCTATGTAAAAACAAAGTAGTACTAAACTGCCGAATAATAATTTGGTGTTATGTGGGATAAGTTGCACTACACGGGTAATTGGTTAGCACAAAAACAGGATGAATTAAAATCGTACAATTCCCCTCAAGTCATGGTAATTTTTTGCGCACGCTTACAACTTGATAACTATTCAGCAATAAATGAGGCTGCTAAGTGAATTTGAAAAACAGCAGATTTCTCATGACTTAAACGTTTTTAAAGGAAGGCAAGCACAAGTCATGTTGTGCATATATGTGGGTGCATGGCATTGACCGAATTTAACTGCCAATGCAAACAGCCTTTTTCAAAGACGACAGATTATTTAATTAACTGGAATAACATAGATCAGAAAATCAAAAAATAAAGGACGAAGAATGAAATGTTGGACGTTAACTATCCTTTAAGACTGTTACGCACTCAACTCCATTGGGTATTATAGAAGCAATTGAAGGGATATTTCATCTACACAGTAACTTGTAGAAGTTTGCAGAGGTAGTATCAGTTCAGTGCTTATATACTTCCACACAAGTCTGGTACATATCTGCGGACACCGGAGGGTTGGTGCAGCTGGTTATCCCCAGAGCGGTGTCAAACCAACAAAGACCATCGGTGCATTAAAAAACTAAGTAGCCGCGTTTACCTTTGGTCCTCTGGCATAACTAACATAGTCGATGTTCCCATTTAAATTGCTTTTTTTATTTCGCATCGAGCTTGAAGGAGCCGGTGGAGGTGGATCATGGCGTCTAGATATACAACAAAAATCATAGAAAGCCTGTTAGAAAAAAGAATACACTGAGCAATATGAATGCGTCGTTTTCTTGTTCAGCAATCGCGAGGTTTTTAAACAGCATACATTTACTTCCATAAAAAACAATACAATACAACACTAGCTGACGTTTCGGCAGTATCGCCTTCTTCGGAGCCTGGAAGGACATACTTATATACAATCTACTAGGCCAAAAGCTTCAATAACACTTACAAAAAGAAAAACTATATGGTAATCACGTGATCAACAGCTTCTCAAAAAACTCACCGCTTTTTACGTGGCTTCCAATGAGGAAGTTTAGAACAGCTGATTATAGTCGCATGTGGTTGATGACTACACCATCCCACATCAGAAATTGATAGGAACATACGGGTTCAGGTTGCGTATGACCTCTGGGCATTCCTCCCTACTATTCATTGTAGGATTTTTTGGCATCTATCCAAAAAGCCTCAAGAAGTTTTCGCGCTGGTGTTTTAGTCTCTTGTGCAAGGATATTGACTTTTACTTCAAAATCTGTGGGATGGTGCAGTTATCAACCATATGCGACTATAATCAGCTGTTCTAATCTTACTCATTGGAAGTCACGTAAAAGCGGTGAGTTTTTCGAGAAGCTGTTGATCATGTAATTACTATAGAGTTTTTCGTCTTTTTGTAAGTGTTATTGAAACATTTGGCCTAGTGGACTGTATATCAGTATACCCTTCCATGCTCTGAAGAAGGCGATACTGCCGAAACGTCAGCTAGCGTTGTATTGTATTGAGTTTCTCTATGGAAGTAAATGTATGCTGTTCAAAAACCTCGCGATTGGTGAACAAGGAAACGACGCATTCATATTCCAATGCCGAGGTTAATAGAAAGTCGATCCTGGGAACACTGAGCAATATTATACTAATTTGTGGAGGAAAATGCAGTTCATAGAATACCTTGGCACGAGTGCAATTTCTTCCTGAGCTGATACAATAGAACGGGCAGAAAGCATAGGTGAAGGCATTTGCACTTGAACTTTGCCGGAATTAGAGAGTGAATCGAGTTGAATATTCGTTGAGAGCCGATAATCCTAGGACTCATGCTATCACGAAGAAGTACCACTTGAGGGTTTGAGCACTCTTCAACTAGTAAGATTAAAATGAAAGGTAACCTTTAATTTTTTGATAGCTAGCCCTAGTCGCTTCAAGTGTCCTAATCTCTTTATTCCAATGTCCTCAAAATCTTCCCAACTTAACTTCATTACTTCCTCCACAGAGTCGTATCCTTGCGAATGGAATACATTAGCGTACTCAGGTAAGGCAAGAAGAGTAAGCCACTCGCTAAAATTCAAAAATTTATATGCTGGAAAACTACGCAAGAATTATAGAAGAAATAAACAGAAATTTCTCTAAAAGAATTCTGAGAGGATATCCGACCTCAGACCACCTTGTGGTGGAACAGATGGCCAGCTGTCAGTGACCTGCCAGCTGTGAATCTCGTTTATCAATCGCTTTCGGTGGACCGGATTTGTTATCCCCAGGGATAGCAGATCCTCTGGAGTGATTCGAGCTAAATAAGAAGTGTGGTTGAAAAGTCAATACACTTGGAACAATACCTCTTTGTTAATCTTGATTGAAGTGCAATATGTTGCGTGCATAATGTTGGAGACATAATGCGTGTACAAAATTTTTTTACTATTATATTATACGCTACAGTTACCACACGTACTTTAACAGTCATTCGCAAATGTAGTGTTGTCCTTGGAATAGAAAAAAATTGAGATTAAAAAAACGATGTTAAAATATGTGACAAAACGCGTTCGTTTCTTTTCCTAATGATTTTATATGACGGCTAAAATAAACAGAAATTGAAGAGTAAATATTACAAACCTATTGAAGACAGGTCGTATCCTTGAGTGAGAAATAATGTCAGGTAATCCGCCATGCCAATCTTGTCCAACCAGATAGCTAATATTTCAGCTTCGGGTATCCTTTTTGCAACCATTTGTGTAACATTCACGGGCGATTCCGATGTAGGAGAGCAAAACGAATAGTCGAGCGTGTCAATCGATGATGAAGCGAGTGAAGGTGATCCGCTGAACATGCATTATGAATAGGAGGCAATGAAATAGGTTTTGAATGGACGAGCATCTCAACTCCCAGGATCGACTTTCTATTAACCTCGGCATTGGATTATAAATGCGTCGTTTTCTTGTTCAGCAATCGCGAGGTTGTTAAACAGCATGCGTTTACTTCCATACAATAATACACATACAACAAAACGGTAGCTGACGTTTCGTCGAAATTCAGTTCCAATTCAATTTGAACATTCCAATGAAATTAAAGCAAGAAGATTTTACTGCTATCAAATGAAGTTCTATAATTATTAAATTCTTCGGAAAAGTTGCAACAAGGATTGCAACGAAAACATTTTCCACAGAAGCATATAAAAGAACTAACCTTCCACCGCTTCCACTGGAATGTACACTTATTCGACTTGGTGGTGAATCGGTTTGGCTATTGGTGAGAAGGGAGACGGTGTTGAACGATGAAGAAGATGACGACGAAGCAGAACCAGTGCCATGAGACTGAAATAAGATTGAAGAACAATAGTGAATTGTAGGCCATTTCTTTGCGCTTAAAGTCTCATATCATCTCCATCATCTGCTGATGTGAGTTAACGATGTCTGCTAGCGTTGTTGTCCATCACACGGCACTTTCGATGTCGTTTCGATGAACAGCACTGCCCAATAAACGAAAGCAACAAAATTTCGCGCATGCTAGATAGTGGAAAAGTGCATTTTGGAGAACCTGTATAAATAAAGCTAAGCAAATTCAGGAGTGCTAGCGAATTTCCAAAGATTTTTGACCAATTGGAGCACGTGCGTAGTTTAAGATTGTGTTATCCAGTCGCATGTCGAAAACGATCAAATCACTTTATGTGGAATATGAATAAACATATATGACAAAAAAATGAGGGCTAAGTTATACCTTCATACTTTCAAATCCAGAACTGCCTTGACTAGAATTCGATCCAGTTGAAATTCGATGTGATGGATCGGGGAGAAGCGAAGTCGAAGGAAACGCCAACGATGTCATTCCTATTACAGAATCTATTCACCAAAAAAAACTGATTTAGTGATAATAACAAACAAAATTATGATTCGCCCGTTTGTTAGAAGCACAGTGCACAAGACGGTACTACGACCGCAGCGATGTCTTACTTTTTAAAAATGAACTGGGCTGTGGAAAACAGCACGCGAGAGACTTCAAATTTTTTATCTCCAAAACTCCTTACTTATTGTTGGACGCTCTATGTAGTTAACAACCCTGACGAATTCCTTTGAAATAACTTTACAACCATTGTTAAGCAAAGGGGTTTCAATTTACCAAGCATAATGTTAGTATTGCAGAATTATGCACGTATAACAAGAAAACATAAATAAAGACAGAAAGGGAAACGTAAAGTTAGAAAGAGCCATCTAAATCGGTTCGAGAGACAATTACACGGGACAATGGGGAAGTAGAGAGCCCTGAGGGCGCTACGATTGGGGCCGGCACCAGACGAGGCCGGACGAGGTGGCGATCAAGAGGCGAGAATTCACTGGTCTCTCACCAGGCATCGAAAGCATGAATAAATGTCACACTCATAGAACTTGCTAAAATACAAGTAAGCACAAAACCGCCAATCGCCGATCATATATGTAGCAAAAGTACTTGTTATAGATTAAAATAAATAACAAATAATAAACAATAAACAGTTGCCGTTATAACAAATATATATAATAATTAAACTATATTACATAAAAATTCTCACAATGAATGTGTACATACAATATGTAAATGCATAATAATAATTAACAATTGTTATAAATCAAAATAAATAAAATATGTAAGTCAAAACGCATCTGTTATAAACTTCTTCATCGATGATTTGTCGTTTCCGTTTATCTTTGCCTTATTTATCTTTATATCGTGGCATTATACCACTCAAAAAGCAACTCACATTTTGGCATGTGGGAAAACAGCTGAGAATGAGGAGCAAGGTACTAAAGTAATACAGCGTATAAAAACAATTGACAAAGCTCTATTTACATGGACTTGCTTCTAGACTGAATGATGCTCTTTAGTTGAACTAAAAAAATGATAAAGCTCTCGGCGTTGATCAATCCCTGAGGGATGCGCCATGCATTCGACTTCATTAAGCATCGTTTGGGGTGACTGAATGCATATCTGGCCTTTACAATGACTCGCGATGGCCTACCGATGTATCGAGCCAATGTTGCCATCCTTTCAGATAGGTCTCATCCCAATTTGCACACACCGGAGGAATGGAAGGCTTGGTGGGGCATGGGCGCGAAGGCCGACTCCACTTGTGTTTCGCGGGACGTCTCCGACCACTGCACTACAAGCGTCCTTCGTTTGAAGTTAAACTAGACTGGACTTAATTTTTCACCAAACCGCTGTAAAATAAGGCACGTGATCAATAGAGGTGGTAAGAAAGCGTTACCTCAGATCTGACGATAACCATAAAAATTAGGAGTAAAGGTGATTGTCTTAATGACATTTGTCATCTATGAGAATAATGCCGTAATTTCATCTCTAACAAATTGCACACGTCTTTTGTGAAACCTATAGAACTCGCGATCGGAAAAAAAAGTTTGAGCTACTCAGAATTCAATTGCAAAACAGGTATTGAAATTAGAAAGTGGTCGTTAAATAATGTTTCAGGAACAAGAAAGTTAGTCAATAAAGGAAAAAATTTAATCGAATGTAGTAAACAGAAAACTCAAAGCGTGCTATTTCCATAATTCCATCTTCATTCTCAATCAACACGCATGATTTTGAAAGTTTTAAGCAAAACTGATTGATTTTGGCCGAAACGGGTGCCTAGCAATAAAGCCTATCTATCAACTTGCTGTAGCCGAGATAGGTGAAGGTGGTGAACACTAGAAAGAAACTTCACAAAACCTATAATTGAAAGTGATTACGATACATGAGATGCATTTCGTTTTTACACATAAGGGGTTTAATGAAGAAGGAACAGAAGGCCGGCATAGATGGAGTATAGAATGTCGCCAATGTTCTTCGGTCAATCAGGAATATTGTTGACATGAAGCACAGCGACGCGCATGAATAATTCGGGGGTCGAGCCATCATTACGATTGCTTCGCGGCTTTCAACGGTAACAGCAACGTGAGATCCAAATGCATAAGTGATTTCCAACACGACGAACGCAACACTTTTCTTGCATATTTCTTGCATATGAGATGAATAGCGCTGTCATGATTTCATATGAACAAGAAGAGTAAAGAACGGAAACGGAAACGAGTCTTAAGAAAAGAACAATGTATATGTGAAAAGACGTAGATTCAGTCTCATTTCAACAGTGTTGACGAGATTGTGACTATTGAAGTGAAGCAACGATGACAAATGACAAAAAGTGAGATAATTATCAGATTGCCATAAGGTATGCAAGATTTTTTACCGGTGAAATAGATTAAAATGCCGATTAAGGTCATCATAAAAAACGTAAGAAGCGAAAAGCATTGTACTGGAATTAAATAAAGCTGCTCTACTACATGGATTTGCTAAGTCGAGTTTCGCCGAAGAAAAGAAAAAGGAAAAGAAAAAAAAAGATGAATTGTAGTAGGAAGTCAGGGAAATTTCCAAGAAAGTGAAATTCAAAAATTAGCCACCAGTCAAAAAATAGAGCTATGCTGTAATCAGAGGACAAGAAGGTGAAACACCTTAAATAGAATAATAGGAAATGCGTATTGGTTGCCCTATCAACCAACATACAACGAAGCAGCTAAACCAGTGGGACAAAAAATTCTAAAAATTTGGGATTTCCTTTTTGTTATTCCATGAAAATTTGAATAACAAATTATTCAAAACTAAAATGAAGCTAAAGAAAATATACATGCCTTTAATACGTCCCTGTGACGAGGTTTCTTCTTTAAGTGGTGAAGTTCTCAAGTTTTCAACTCATCGTCTTGAAGACAAATTATTTACAAATGTCGAAAAACCTGATCCGGCGCGAATGTTTTAAAAAAGTGGTGTGAGGTTAAATATGAGCGAAATTACTAAATTTAAGCGAGATACAATCAAATTTAACAATACAATTATGAAGCACGAACTAAATTCTCTAAAAATCTAGAGAAGGTAATTTATGCGGAGAAGTGGATAGGCGTTAATTCATAAGTGAAACCCGTATTGACTTCATATTGTAAAGGAACGAAAAGTACCTATACACTGACAGTACACTCGGTCGTATCCGCCAGCCGAAATCAACAAGCACACTGAATGGCTGTGGGTAATTTGAGCTGCATGAGAAATGAAATCGAGTGCGTCTCAATCATCAGGTGAGAGTAATGAGTGTTTGTTTGGTTAGAATTATAATTTAAAAAAAATATTGCTCGGATACACGGTATTTAAAGTGCGAACGTCTAAAGAATTATTTTAAAATTTCCAAAAAATCTCGTGACAAAAATTTAGCCTTTGAATTAATCCGATATCTACATGATTAAGACCTAAAAGAAACCGTTCATCTAAGACCGCACGAACTCCTTTGTTCTTGTCCAAACTTACAGACGAAATTCTCTACGTAAAGCATGGTAAGCAACATGATCACACACAACAATAACTCTAGATGAGATATAAAACATGTCGAAAATTAAATACACTTCATGTAGAAGACCAAGACCATTCGTATCCAAAAATGAAAGCCCACACTACTGGGTGAGTAGCGATTTAACAAAACTGAACAGAATTTAACACCTTGGTGGACGCCCTAGAGGACCGTACGCGATTACAAAAAGTTAAGGAGACCTATATATCCATAATAAAAGGGATAAGTTTAAAGAAATTTGCTAGTTTTTTTTAAAAAGATTTCTTGCAGTAAAGAGAATTAGTCCTAAATTTCACCTCGTTAGTTGCCTACGCCACCACCTATGAATAAAATCAATTCATAATCATTTTGTAATTCTTCTCCTCCTAACTCTTTGCTTAGAACCGCGCACGTAGGTCATTTTTATTTCAAAATGCGAAAGAATAATACTGAAGGCGGTTCACAGACTCAATCGCTAGCCTTCAACTATGCTA